GCAAGCTCCGGATCCACGGCATTTAGTGCTTGGCTGTGAAGATCCATCGATCTCTCAACTCCCCCCAAGATCCAGCCATTGGAGGCTGCAAGCAACTCAAAGGGATCGCAAGATCAACAACTGCCAACCCACCAAGGCTACTCAACGGCCGGATCCAAGGTCCGCCAACGGTGATCCACGTTTGACAGTTCACGTGGATCCCGGATCAACCCACTCGGCAGCAGAGCGAAGACCTTCCGCTTTGTTACGCCCCATCCCTGCGTCTCGTCAAGACATTCAAGATCTTCAACACTTGGACCTCTCCTGCAGATACCGGAGGAGCAAGATCCAGCTCTACCGACTGGTACACAAGGTGAGGAAGTTCAGCTGATCACGAATCAATAGGAGTACTCCCTCCTATAGTCGGTGTCCTGGGCACAGTGGCAAGCCGGATCCAGCATCTTCGCAGATTTTGCTGAACCCGCTCCACCACAGTATCCTGCCTCGAAGTCGACTTCCGAGTCCAAGTCCCGATCCAAGAGTGACGCCAAACTCCCCAAGAATACAGATCCGCAAAAAGAGGACCAAGGATCGGATGAGACTTCGCCCAAGAATTCAACCGAAGGTGACAACGATGAAGTCCTAGACGATATGTTGCAGGTCCAGACACTTATAGCTCTTTCGCGATCCAGATCCGAGCAACGACGCCGCGATAATGCTACTCTCTGTCGCACCGGTGCCGGCGGAGATGGTGATCCTGGCTGGGGGGATAAATCCGATGGTGGCGACTCGAGCTATGGCACTGGTGGCGGTGGTGGCGCCGGATATCTTGTAGATCCGGCTGGGATGTCCCTCCCTTCCATTATGTTTCCACGACGTCTGTTTACCGCTGACCACGAATGTATCCCTGGTCGTCGGCAGACCCGCCAGTACAACATTGCTGATGTGGACCCATGGGTGATTTAACGGATCAACACCCTGACGAACATGACCATGACTCTGGAAGTGCTGTCCCGTGCACTATAGTTTCGCCGTGATCACGTTCCTCGAGCGGCCACCCCAAGACTGGATCAGTACTGCATCTACCTGATCACGTGGCAGAAGGTTCGCGGCCTCAAGGCTGCTCTCCCCTGGAACGTCCTCACCGGTGCCAACATTCCCGAACCCATGTCTTTTGAGCACACGGTCGATGGTAGCTTGGGATTCCTGAACGAGAGCTATTCCGCGTTTGGGTTTCACAATCTGATCGTATACTGGGAGTCCACGCATCGCTTTCCAGTCCCACCTGCGTTGGTGCACAGCGATCCTTTTTTGGCGCTTTTTGTCGTGGGTAGAAAGAATCGTCGATCTCATGCTGGCGCCAGGTAGAAGCAAATTTTGCAGCTCTTCTTGATCGCCATGAGCGAGGGTTGATGTTATCTAGATATGTTGCTGTATCCGTATTACCTTCACTTGCCCAAGCGAACGGATGAAGTGGCCTGATATCCTGGCATTGAAGCACGTAGTGCTACCCTCGCGGATCCACAATTGCACCGCCGTAAACCAGCGGACCATATCGAAGCCTTCGCTGAGTGTGACACGGCGGATCCTTGTTGCACCCACTAAAGCCTACACCACGCAGGCTATCCCGCACATCGGATCGCGCGTCTTGCAGGCAGGTTATTCAACATGGCGGCTCTGAACCCCAATGCGCCACAAGCAGTGATCCAAACTTCTTTTGCCAGGATCTGCCGAGATCTTAGCTGTTAACCATAATCCACGTTACTTACTTCTCTGATCTTGGCTCGTTGATATCCTTTGATTATGTTACATTTAAAATCATGTTGTTTCATATAGATCTTCACTCCAGCACCTCGTCACTTGTCTTATGTCATTTGATCCATAATCTCCCAGACAATATAGCTCTAGATCCACACTCGGGCCCCACTTTTGCTCGCCCCATTTCAAACACTGAATCAGCCTCCTTCCACCTAGAACTCCAATTGGCTCATCGTCATATCCAATTTCATGTAAACCTGTCCTCCGATCTCCAACCTTCTTGCAGATCCATCAACTTTCAGCCACACCGATGACCAGCTCACCAGTATGGATCTAGATCTCACGGTTCTTCGTGAGATTGCATCACACCAAAATGGTTGCGATTAGCGCGATCTCGCAGGAACTCATAGAGAAGAACACCGCAGTTGAGATCTGCTTCATCCATCCAAGGCAGACCTTCATATCCGCCCCAATGCACCAAATATTCTCGAAAGATCCGTCCATATCTAGCCCGTTTGCTAGTTCTCATATTGGAAATCCGATCTACTTCGTATTCATCTGTATTTCGATCCTGGATTCAACTATCTTCGGGTATGAGATCTTCAACAAAGTTCACCCGATCTCCATCCGCTTCCTCTAGGCGAACTACCAGTCGATCCGGAAATATCTTGATCTGTTTGATCTTCGAGAGTGTACTACTGGTAAGATGCTGTACGTTGATCCTGTGATCTCCAACTGCATATTCCTCGCTCTTCTCAGCGACGCGAAATGGCCCATGCCAAGGCGTCCGTTTTTTCACATACCCTTCACGCACTCGATCTAAGTACAACCAGACTCTTGATCCAGCCTCCACATGGTGTTGATGTACCAGACCATTATGCGTGTCGGCTCGATCCGCGATTGCTTGGCTCAAACGTTGGTTCACTTATTCCCGAGCTTGCTGGTAATACTTTTGCATCCGATAGCGCCACCTTCTCAGATCTCGATCGTGCCTGCGAGTGCTCCCCACCGGGATTACCGCCTCTACAGTAGCTCTAGGATCCCACCCATGTATCATGTAAAAAGCGGATCCGTTCCCTTGCGGTGTTGATCGCGAAGGTAAGCCGTTCGGCGTATTCATCTCAGTCACGTTGATCCAAATCCTGCACATACATCTAAAGAGCTCTGGTGGCCGGTAGGACCATACGCTCTGCGGATACATTAGTTTGGGGTCGATTAGCCATAGTAGCACGTTGACGTTGACCCATGATCTTGTTAAAGGGTCAGACATACACCCTGGCTCTCGATCATGTCAGATCACCTCGCTTGCACCAAATCAGCGAAAACCGCACTCTTCGTAAGTCTCAGGAATCGTTTGTACAGATCTAGCGGCGCTAGCTTTGGCGATCACATATCCAGATAATAGATCTACGAAGATCAGCAGCTCTGTGTTGCCATTGAAAGATCTAGACAGTGAAGGTATGTGATCCATAGCAATGATCCGGAATGGGTATGTTGCTTGAAGGTTACCAGATGACTCACCCTGGATCCGAGGTCGTCCTTTACCTGTTTCACAATCAATACATTCTCCCACATATCGCTGTACGCTCTAATACAGCTATCGCCAGTGGAAATGATCGCGGATACAATCATAGGTACGACCGATTCCTTGATGGTCATCATGCAAGCTCGTGTGGTAGTGATGCAAAATTTCCCTGTAGAAGCATCTCAGGCACCATTAATCGCATCAACTTGTCTTGATCCGCGGCGGTCTCCTTAGCCATCGGCCGGTAGAAGAGTAAATCCGAATGATCCACTTCATAGTTCATAGCAACAGATTCAAACACCTTAGCATCTTCTTGTGTCAGATCTCGGTTCTCTCCAACCAAATATTTCTTTAGCCCTGAGATCCACGACTCATCATCTTGTGCTTGCCCGATCCGCATGATCCGTAGTTCTCTCACAACTTCCACGCGCAATGAATATGGATCAGACCCAATACGCACTCCAGATGTAGCTTTACGTCGGGGCGGTCTCGTCTTCGATTTTCACTATCAGGATATCAGCCAACACGTCCAAGGTTACTAGACCTTGGATCTCCTTTTCAGACTCGGCCTCGATTCCAAATTGTCGTTGTAGACCAGCACTTGCTAAGCTGGTAGCACTCCCGTTCCAATCTCGGTTAACATGTAACAGCTCGTGATCCGGCCAAGTACGTAGTCGATCTAGAGCCCGCTGGTTTAGCAGTATCAAACCCGGTTCCTTACAGTCGATCTCACCTCGTACTTGTTGGAACACCAGGTTCGAGTCTCCGCAGATCACAAAACGTCATGGGTCAGATCTTTTAAGAGATTAAACATAACAAAAATCCATGGAACTGAGTTAGACTGTTAACCAACCGGTAATCGAATCACAACATGACATCCACTCCGTTCTTCTTGATGATCACCACGATTGGGGAAGCACACGGTGATCTAGGGTAACTAATCATCTTGGCAGATGACAGACCCTTGGTCAAGTCTACCAGCTTCTCCCTGAGCTGGATCTGCAACTTCAGGGCGATAGGCCTTGCTCCTCCGACATCGATGTCGCATACAACACTTCTGGCCGCCAGCGGAAGGGCATCTCTTTTGCCTATCAAGAGGTGTCGGAACTTCCAGATCCTTTGGCGAAGTCGATCATTTTTTCTGGGGTCTGGTTATCAAATCCACATAGCTGAATACCCTCAATCTTCACATCTTCCGTCGACATGGGCACTTCAGGCAGTACAATAATTTTTAATAATAATAAATTACTTCGTAAATAATTTTCAATAATAAAAAATAATTTTGTGTTGCGGAGTAACCCCACAGTAATCCAATATATTTTCAGAAATATAAAATCTGACCATCGAAATCTTCCGCGTCCAGATCCCTTCCTACGTGGTAGTATACACCATCATCATAATCTTGATCTGAGTCCCAGGTGAGGTCCATATCCGACGCGCCTGGTTGATCTTCAACAACAGGTGCCTGGTTGATCTTCAACAACAGGTGATGGATCCATGTCCGTTTTTGCAACATAGATGCGACGCACTTGTCGTTCAGCCGATCTGTGCCGTCCCAGATTGTAAACTCATCATTGGTGACGGATCAGATCAACCGCATTTCGACGGTGATGCTCCTTGATCCTATGTAGTTGATCCTGGTTGGCGGCTCCAATTCCATATCGACACTTCTCTTCTCGTGCTTCCAGTCCAGTTCTAGTTTCTTCCAACGACGGATCGGTCGCCCCCACGTCTGACGTTACTTGATCGAGATCTTCTACCGTATCCTTGACCGTTACAGCATGCGATATAGAGTCTTCGTCCGCGATAGACGACAGATCGGACTCCTCACCTGCGACAGATGCTGGATCCAACGGTCGCATCTCTGAAGGCGATTTGCCCGACGGCGATTTGTCGGAATGTAGGCAGTCAGGAATATCTTGATCCTGACTTGCCTCGACCTTCCCACACTGGATCGAGGTCGTCTTCGGTCTCTGGAGTATTCGTGCGGAGTTTCGTTCTCGCATCACTCCACCACGAGTATGACGGGGTTCTTGATCTCCATATCTTCGGATCGAGTCTTAGTCGTGGCTTCCAACGCTAGATTCTTCCACTCCATGTAACGACGAGAGCCGATCGAGATGAAAGCTGGTATTCGATCGAGATAAAATCTCGTATTCGTGGCACATGGGCTTCCGCCAGCCAGATCCCGATCCGTTGGTCTTGATGCAGGATCAACACCTCGTCCCCGATGTTGGTGATCGATATATACTTCATCCTCCCGAGGCAATCGGTTATTGTCGGCACCCATCGATCCTCACGCGTGTCCCACAGCTTGTCGTGGGTCGACGACCTCAGGCGCAATGGCAGTTCCACCGACTCTCCTGCTTCGATTCGAAGGTGTTGACCGACGTTTACGAAGTTCGCTTTGGTGCTAGAAAGCTGCCGTCTTCCGCTATGTTGGATCCGGACTTCATCCGGCAGGCCGATCGATCCGTGGGCTAGATCCAGACGGATCCCGTCTGGAACAATGAAGTCCATACCGAGAATAGCTATTTGGACCGTCAGATCACCAACCCAGATATCGAAGAAATATACCAATGATCCCGAGATAATCACTTTGATCCGGGTTCTTCCTTCTGTCTGGTACATATTGTCACCAATTCCGACGCAGTCCTGGATCCGACTCGAGTTGGTATAACACCCAACCTTACTAGCAAAGGTGGTGCCCACGATGGACACCTTGGCGCCGGTATCTAAGAGTAAGATGGCTTTCTCATTGTGGATCTTGCCTGTGATCTTCGCTTGACGAAACCATTTTCCTGGCAAATGATGCTTCCAGTACCCACGAGATTCTCCTGGTAGCAGATCAATTGTCGTTGACCGTGGGTACTTCGAGATCTTGCTAGACCTCTGAATCTTCTGAGTAACCTCGTGATCTGTGGGTTTAAACCATAGCTCTGGATCTTGCAGTCTCCAATAGCCTCGTGATTCCCCTGGTTGGAGATCCACACCCATGGTGACTTCGGATCTGGCATATTCGTCGACTTGACGCAGGCTTGAAATTGCGAAGGTGTGTTTCCCATGCAGATCATGTGTATTACCGTGTAGACCTGGTCTTTTA